CCGCCACGACTGACGACTTGTGCCACGACGATGAAGCCCGAGCCTGTGCCTAGCAGACATTGTTGCGTAGGCCGTGGCCAAGCTTAATTCTCGCCGGACCTTTTGGTTTTCTACATATGCCCCGGCGGGGTCCCTCGCCGTTTCGCCCCGCTGGAGGTTCGTGGAAAAAAAACGAGCGTTTGCGCCGTTGCGAGACGTGGCAATGGACACCCGCTGTTAAGGTCCCGGGCTAACTGGTGACGTATGAGGTCAGTTCAAGTGCATCCAGGCCGGGGTCGTTCTTGTTTGGAAGAACTTTTTTTAGATTAGATGGATTCGATCAAATATGCGTTTCATTAGCAAAACTCAGGTGGACGTGGCCGTTAATCGTGTATTTGTTGATTGTTCAACGGCCAACGCTGACACCACCTTTTCCATTCCGTTGCCAACTTAACGTTAGGTACTCTGTAGCCCAAGTCAGAAGTCGCAATAAATTACCAATTACACTTCCCGCGAAAACCGCAACTGAATTACTGAATAACGCGAAACATGTAACATTTACAAACTACTTCTTCCTACCAATCTTTTTTTCAACTGAATGGACACTAAACAACAGAAATGGCGTTGCTGAATATTGATAAAGACGTTCTCACATCTAAAATATAGAAATGTTAATTATTAAGTAGCTACTAAACTGAGTCTATTGGCCGATTAGGGGAAGGGACCGCATTAATATGAGTCTTCTACTGTTATACACAACACAACACAGACAGCACACAAAACGGTGTCGGCGATATACACTGTATATCGCCTATCGGATGTCACCCACTGGTGGAGCTCAGTCCCAAGAACTGAGTGGCTTTTCTCAGTGGATGCTGGTAGGTAGTCACTAGTCAGTTATTGTAGTGCACATGTTACAGAACAGTCGTCCCAGAAGCCAATGAAATCGTAGTAGTTGATGATATGGCTCTAACTCGTAAGCAGTGAGATAACCATGGTTTTTGGTTACTGTTCCACCCCGTAGTTACGGTTACTGTTCTACTGCTACTTCCCTTAGCAGTTGTTTGTCAGCCAGCTACCCGTGGACGTTAACTGATGACGTTGCCGGTTGATTCTTCCATTTGGCTATTCCATAAGTGGCATCTGGGCCTTTTTCTATTCACGGATTCTGATGAAAGCAAGAAGCTGTCTAGTTATGCAAGCATGCATGCGTGGTGACTTCATGATATTCCCAAATATAACCTTGAGGCTTGATGGTAGACCATAATTTTTCATCACTTCTGTAGATTTTCATGTTTAATCTGTTGTAAAGAACTCTTAGAATGTGTTCGGATTTATCGGTGTTGCGCTGGGCTGTCATTGTCACACACCGCCACCGCTTAGGAGTAGCGGAACTGCACCATGACGATGATGTAGGTGACGATGGTGGCCGTGGCGGACAGGATGGTGGATCGGCGCAGCCGGAACAGGCCCAGGTCGCCCAAGGTGTCCAGGTCGCGGCCGACCGTCTCCCGGAACACACTGAGCTGGTAGCCGAGCTGCGGACTCCGGCGGGCGCCCACCAGAAGCAGGTCCCGGCTCCGAGCCAGCGTAGTCAGCAAGTGATGAATCAGCTCACTGGGAACGACGATTGCGATGAAGCCGCCAAATGTGTAGAGAATCAGCATAGGCCATATGTTGCTGAGGTCGTTGGTCGAGATCTTGATGATGAGGATGAGCCACATGGACACGCTGGCCACGGCGCCACAGGTCATGACGGAAATGATCTCGTAGGACATGACCTTGGTGGTGCCAGTGAAGAGCTGCGCCAAATCATCTTGGATCCTCATCAGCCCGTCAAGCACCTTGTGTTCTTGCAGAAGTGACTCTTTGTTCAGGAAGTCTTCAAGAGATGTGTTGATGATCCGAAACCCGCAGTTGACCTGAAGGCCAATGTACGCAAACTTTAGGATATTTAGAACGAAGCTGACGTGGAAAACATCAAATGCGACGGCATATGTCTGCAGTACGAAGCATCTCATCGTCGTGGTGCAGTCGAATGTGTATGTCATGTAGGATGCGACGACAACCGTCACAACTGTCATCACTATAGTGGTCACCATCAGCCAGGCAACCTCGCGGTGCAGCAGCTGAACACTCTCCTCGTAGCCTGGCATGTCAGACATCTCATCCAGTGTGCGTCCGATTCTACAGAGAAGACTTCCGACGCGGCGGCGACTGAGCACGTAGCAAAGCATCAGGTTAATCCACATCAGCAGAAACATGAGGCCGAAGAAGGCACTGATGGCAAGCGCTTCGACAGGGCTCTTTTCTTGACTGAGCTCTCTCATGCCTGCCTTAAAATTCACCAGAACTACAATGGCGGCGATAGCTGTGCCCAGAATTACGGCAAATGAGACGTGAAGCAGATCGCGCCAACCGCTGGTGCCGCCGGTCAGGGCGCAGACGCGCAGAAGGCACAGGAAGCACCGGACCGACACCGGTGAGCTCCGAGACACCCCTGCCGTTCTGTCGACAGATGTTCTGGCCTCACCATCAACCTCCGACAGTGGGTCTGCGGTCCATGCCTCTGGCAGATTATAATCGGCGACGCCTACCTTTGAAGACATGACGGTTCACGGAGAAGGCAGACGCTTCACCAGAGTTCAGGCATGGGGCAGCAAGGCTGAGCAAGGGTCGATGGTATATCAGAAAGTTGCAAGGCTTTGCGTCCTCGCGGAATGGCCTGATGTAATAGAAATGAACACGTTGGAGGCGCTGAGTGTATTGGTAAAGACCTTGAGCGGCAACAGCCTTATGACACGAAGGGAATGCAAACTTTTTCGTATCGATCGTATAAAGAACTCATCCATGGCAGCGTACACAGTATTCGTAATCTAGCAAAAGCCTCTACTTGCCAAGCGTGAAGCCCCTTAGTGGGCCCGACAAGATGCTCTATGGTCGTTGAGGGAAATGACAGGTGCTAAGTGCTCAAACATCGACTGACAAATATGCCCAGCGAGCAGGGCTTCTGAACAGCAGAGTCAAAGGCAAATGCTGTTTACTGACACGCTGAAAGGAAGCGCCAGGCTCATGTCACTCCACTTTTGATGACATCATAAGAGGGTCCCAGGACAATTAATGGCGCGGTGCGCCACAATCGCTCCAAAGCTACTTGCCAACATCTGCCATTTTTTGAAAATATTATTTTGAAATAAAGTTTCAAGTAATGAAAATATTGTAATAAAGTTGGTACTTAAATCTATACCATATCTAAAAACTTCCCGAAAAATGATTTATCCATAGTAAAAATTAAGATCGATGCGTTTTTACGTTGCTTTCTTGCTGCTGCAGAGGGTTTTTTAATCGTCTATATCTTCAAAAACGGCCATTTCTTAGCATATTGCTGCTTTTTTTGTCGCTGGAAAATTAGTTGGGCTTTCCATTGACATCAACGGCTGAGCGGTATGCGTAGAGTGCCATCAATAATATTCAAATGAAGTTAGTCATTTTTACGTTGCAAAGGAATGGGGTACCCCTTGCGAGCATCAGGGGTGACGTCACTCAGGACCTGTCTCTGATTGGTCGGCGGGGGGGGGGGAAGTGACTGTACTTTCTATAGATGGCCTTGGGAAGCGCGCAAGTACCCGCCGACGTCCTTGATAGGTTTGAAGAGGAAATGCCAACTGAAGTGACAATTATCCACCTACGCAGCTTTCTTCTTAAGGTGGATTAAAGCGAAACATAACGAAGAATCTTAACTGCGGTAACACGTAGTTAAGATTCTTAGATACCAAAAGTGGCATGGGACTCCGGGCGGCTCCTCTAATCAATAGATATTGATATTTTTTCAAGAACTCTAGCTCATACCTTCATTCAGTGGCAGAATCACGAAATTACTTGACGACTTACTTTTTCAGTTGGCCTATCATAGTTGGCGGTCCGGATGGACTCACTGTATCGATGGGTGCAGTTGGTGGCCCGCTGCCTCAATGGCCCATTTGGTGTCAATCTCAGAAATGTGTTTAAGTAACCATCCCACCTTGACATTAATTTTGAGTTGAGATAGCCAAATTGGCGTCTGTGGCTCGTAATAACCGGTTTGGGTACTCACAATATCGATAAAATTCTTAAATCGAAAAAGCCCGACGCTGCGCACGCCCTGGTGGTGACCGGGCGCAACAAATCCGCCGCAGCCTTAGCAGTGACATTGACTTCCGCCGTCTGCTGCGGCTCCAAAGCCAAGCCAACGTGGAATTGGGAGAGCTCGGTCACCCGCAGCTGGCAGCTCAGTGAATTTCCTTATCATTGTACCTACTAGCATTATATAGATTGGTAATTTCATAAACGTGCTTACGCTTTAGGTTCACGTGAGCGGTAAACCCTTAGATAAAATAAATTATCGTAATATTTAGTAGAAAAACAGCAAAGTAACGGGCCACTTACTCGGAAGGTAGAAAACCTACCACAAAGAACTCCTAAAATTCCTGAGGCATCAAAGGAAGCTACTAAAATTCCTGAGGCATCAAAGGACCAAACAGGCATCTATTAGGTTACCGCTATTCCCGTCGTGAAAACGGCTGTTGTGAATTGCTTTATTTGACCTGATCTTGACCTGAGGTCAACACTGTGAGTTGACCTCACCAAGCAAAAAGTATGTCATTCGACGCACCTAAACATGACCATTTATCAACATGATGGTACCAAAATCGCGTCTCTTCGATCATGTCCGGTGAAGTTATTTAACAAAAGCCAAACAACCCTTACCTAAATTTGATGATTTAGTACCTTGGGCACTTGACTTGACCTCAGAGGTCACGAGCTGACTGGATACCTATCGGGTACCAGAAGTTGCGTCTCGTAATGGCGCATACGCCCTTTTTCGCGGGTTTTACGGTGGTCTGCGAAAAAGGTAATATTCATATTCGTGGAAATAACGTTCATGGCATAGAAATCCCTTTACACAGAAGATCTTTATGCGGTACTTGAACGTGACACACCAATGTAAAATTGTGATATCTCATTGACAAGCTAATGCTTATTCAAAGCAAGGATTCAAAGCCAGGTACTCAAAGAAGTTGGAAAAATACGCTAGGAGCACTTTGTAGCACAATTCCAGTAACAATTGTTCTTAGGTTGACGGCAAAAGCTATCACTTTTTATGATGTGATTCTTGTGAAGCATGTGATCGTAAAAAGTCACTCAATATGTACTTATAAGCTATATTTTTATTGAAGACACCATACTTAGCTATATGATTTCATGTCTCAAAAAAGGCTACAGGTGCAATTTTACTTATATAGCACTTTGATATTCTACAGGTGCTTTTAACAAGTATCATCCTGGTTCCATTCAAGAAACCAGCTTTTCCTATCTATTTCAAGCTATAACCGAATTCAACGCTGAAGTCTGGATTCTAATGCATTGTTCAGCTCTTGTTACGATGCAAGTACTGCTAATTTGGATCATGCTTTTCACTGGAAGTGAGTGCGGTACATTAGTTACAGATATACTAAACAGAACAACGTACCACAGGGAGTTCCCACCAATGGCAAAAGATGATGACCCCGATGGCAGGGTATCTGTGTATCTGTCCCTAGAATTCATCAACATGTTGGAAATCAACGAAGTGATGGGCGAGATCGAAGTATCGCTGTTTTATCGTGTGTCATGGGAAGAGCCTCGTCTGTACGGAATGCCGGGACCTAAATCGCATCTTACTAGACTGCCAACACATGTATTTCGTGAACTTTGGAGACCGGACATTGTCATAGAAAATGTTCGATCTGTTTCCAAAAATGGAATTATCAAGCCCACTGTCTATCATGCAGTGTTCTCGCCGCGTCAGCCGTTCTATTCCACATACATTGTTATGCGCGTGGGATGTCCATTTGAGTATGGGTCATATCCCATGGATATCCAAGTGTGCAATTTGCACGTTGGCACTATGGGTCTCACTGACGATGTGCTGAATCTAGAATGGTTCGGAAAGTTAGGAATCAAACCGCAAAACCGACAACAATTTCTCCGCTTTCATCATCTGTTCCAGCTCAGAATTTGTGAAAGCACAGCAGTGAAGCTACGGCGCTCTGAATTTGGAAAGCATCCTCAAAAAACAATTATGATCATAATGCAACGGAACTTCAAGTATGTCATCATTCAAGTATTCTTGCCAAGCGTGTTTTTCATTTTGATCGCCTGGCTCAGCGTTCTGGTTCCACCGACAATGCTTCGGACCCGCCTGCTGCTCAACTGCACCAATTTGCTGACAATCATCTCCATGTACTTATCTGTCTCCAAGACTGAGGCCAAGCGCGTTCCAAAGGTCAGCTATGTGACAGCGCTGAACCTGTGGATGTTCGTCACCGTGGCCTTCTGCTTCAGCTCCGTGCTGCTGGTGATCCTCGACATCCGGCTCGTGGTGCTGCTGACCAATCCGGGCCGCAAGCTCGAGACGCTGCTCGACTTCGTCCGACCCAAGAACACGCCCGAGCCGAGCGTCCAGCTCTATCTGGAGGACGAGGACGAGGAGGGGGACGAGTTCGCGGACGCGTCGGACGTCACGCCCGAACTGAGCGGCGCAGAGCTCACCGAGCAGCAGCTGCGCGTGCGTGTCGCCGAAAAACGCGTCGAGTGGCTGGCTAGGACGGCTGGCTTCGAGCAGGTCTACCTGGTTGGCTATCCTGTGCTGTTCGTTCTCTTCCTTCTTGCCTACTTCGGACACTTCTTGTCGCAGCGGAAAGCCAAAATGACGAGCCTGATGTCGGCGTCGCAGTCAAATGACACGCTGTACCCGGGCTGCTATTGTTTGCTGGAGGACTTCGACAAGGGCTGCATGACGGAGCAGGACTACATTGACAATCAGCTGACGTGATCAGCTATCAGGTTAGGTCTGGCACTGGCCAGCAAGAAAGAGTGCGTAACTGTATAGCTTATAGGGGCGATTCAAAGGAGCAGTGGTAGTAACTCAAGTGAATGTGTTGAGCAATAAAAAACTGATAATATTTCATATAAGTTTTTTTAATCGTTGTTGGACCTATCTTTTTTTTACATACGCCTCGGCCGAACAGGGTGGGAATGCGACTCCATTCGCCGTTTCGCTCCTAGTTGCCCTATAGCTTTTCGAAAAAGCTGTGCACTGTTACAAGAAGCAGCGACTGTAGCCCGACTTTAAGGTCTCAGTACAACCGGTGACCTCTGAGGTCAGGGCAAAGGCGCAAACTAGAGGTCCGGTATTTTGCTATTAATTTTTGCGATCCACTCACCATCCCCCTTCAACAATACGCCGTTACCCGTGTCATTTTTGGAAAGGGGTGCTTATAAATGTTCAGCAACCTGTATTGGATGCGCGATTTCACCGAATGGAAAATTTGGTGAGAGAACTTGAATGTATCTTTTTATGCCGTGTTGAGCTAAGCACCTCGTCATCATTTTTCCGTTGCGTGGGCTCCGTTATTCAATTTAGTCTCCTCGGGCAGCGGTATAAGGATCGGAGACGGCACCGACCCGGTGCGTCGCTGTAAACATTGGCGAGCCGCAGTGCCGCCGGCATGCATCGCGCCAACTACCAGCCGTATATAAACACGGGCGGTGTCGGTCCTGGGTGGAAACCCCGCGGCCTCCAGCTGCCTAGAGCCGGGCAGACCGACGGCTGTGACGGGCAATTGCCAGGAAAAGGTGACTGATCGGTTATTTGACGGTGGTTTGGCCCATTCCAGCGTAGGAGAGAGGTGACTCAGTTGTGAGTTCTGCGAATGAGCTGAATAAAACTATTTTTGAATAATATTTGTACGCGCCTGCTAAACGAAAACATCATTAATGTAGTTCGCCAAACATTGCGATGATGACGTTGATGATAATGCAATTCTACATATTCTGATTGAAGATTTGGGCTGAAAGTAATACAGTTTCACCGAAACAGGCTAATACGGTATTGAATCTCTCCTCGTTAGGTGCCAGCTTCCGGAACGATTTCGCTGGCTTATGTGGCACTAAGTCTGACATTAATTATCATCTGCATCGCATCTGTCTGCTAAACGGCGACTAAAATAGGAGCATATAGGTCATAGCAGCCGAGGGAAATCGTATCGGCAGCCGTAAATTAGCTTGGACAATGCCACACTGCACCCACCCACAGCCCGGGGAGGCCAGTGACGTCATTATCCGCTGCTCCGTGTGTATAAATGTGTGTGTGACGTCACGCCGTTCTGCTGACGGCCCCCGCGGTATAAACAGTGCGGCCGGCCCGGCGCCAGTCTCGCGCGCCAGTGACCTCTGCGCCGCGCGCCAGCCAGCAGTGCCGGCCAGTGTTCGTAGACGATTTCTGCTTCTGGGTGTGTAAAACTGTGAGCTGCGACGTCTGGTGCATACTTGCGCTTGTTTCGAAGATGCAGATCCTGCTCTGTGGACTGCTGTTGTTGGCCGCTGTGGCCGGAGGTCAGGCGCAGTGCATGACCAGAGATGACACCGCCATCAACGTCACTAACAACCAAGTTGTCTACATCAGTAGTTCCCACGACTTCGCAGTGCGGCTGTTTCAAAAGCTGCACCCGGAGTGCCAGGGTCGCAACCTCTTCTTTTCTCCGTACTCGATCTGGAGTGCGCTGACGCTGGCGTTCTTCGGCGCGGAAGGCGACACCCACTCTGAGATGGCGCAGGCGATGGGTCTCTCCGGCCTGAACAAGGTGGACGTCATGCGCGCCTTCCGCTTCATACTGTTCTGGCAGAATGTGGAGCTGTCCGACAAGATTGACGACGCCGGTAAAAACGAGCTTCGTGTGGCAAACCGGCTCTTCTTCGACCGCCGGCAGAAGGTGAAGCTGTGCATGAAGGAGCTCTTCCACAACGAGATCGAGATGGTTGACTTCCGGAAGGCCAGCGAGGAGGCGCGGCAAACCATCAACGCCTGGGTGGAGGAGCAGACGGCCAACTGCATCAAGGAGCTGGTGCCACCCGGGTACGTGGATTCTAACTCGCGGATGGTCCTGGTGAACGCTGCCTACTTCAAGGGCACCTGGGTGTCGCAGTTCCGTCCGAACGAAACCCAGCTGGCGCCGTTCCACTCCTCCAAAGAGGACGTCTCCATGGTGAGCATGATGCAGCAGGAAGGCACGTTCAACTGCGGTCCTTCGGAGCCGCTGCAGGCACAGGTGCTGGAACTGCCGTACCTGGGCCACCAGATCAGTATGTATATCCTGCTGCCGTTTGCAGACAGTTCACTGGATGTCACTATCTCCAGGCTGACTCCGAAGATCCTGCGCGGCGCCTTCGAGTTCATCAGCCCTGGTGAAGTGAACATCCACATCCCAAAGTTCCGCGTCGAGGAGGACTACGAACTGAGCAGCGTGCTCAGTGACCTCGGCTTCGAGCGGCTCTTCAATGGGTCCACCGCCGACCTGAGCGGCTTCTCCAAGTCCGGAAACATGGCGCTGGGCAACGCGCTGCACAAGGCCTTCGTGGAGATCAGTGAGGAGGGCACCGAGGCTGCAGCGGCCACGGCGCTTCTGGACAACCGGTCCGGCCACCCTTCGCGGGTGGAACAGTTCATCTGCGACAGGCCCTTCATGTACGTCATATACTACAAGCCGACACACACCATGCTCTTCATGGGCACCTACGAGCACCCGGACGTCGAGGCAAAAGAGTCCGGGGAGTCGGAAGAGGGTGACTTCTAAGCGGAGGCTGACTCGGTGACGACTGACGGGGGAGCTTGAGGGCCGTGCTGTCGAGTATTTGTTGTTGCCCATAAGCAAGTGAAGTTCGTGAGAGACAGGAATACAATTCAACATTCAGAAGGCCAAAAAGGTTTCTATCAGTTCACTGCACGAGTGTCTGGATCGGCATCCAATCATCAATGTGAGACGAACCGCTTCCCGTTTTGTAGTTCTCTCGGTGACATAACAGTGGTGCTAGCAACGGAAATGTCTTAAATTCTGCAGTTGCACAGATGAGACGAGAAAAGAGGGGAGAGAGAAAGAGGGGCGAGAGAGAGAGAGAGAGAGAGAGAGAGAGAGAGAGAGAGAGAGAGAGAGAGAGAGAGAGAGAGAGAGAGAGAGAGCGACCTTCTGGTGTGCGGGTATGACTAGGGATGCATCCGGCACCTCGTCTGTTAGCAACGGTACCTTCCTCATGTGGTCCCTGTTGAATGTCGGTTGACAATATGACCGACTGAACGTGTCACCCAAGCGCGTCTACCTTGTGATGTTTCATGAGGTACAGAGTCTTCTTGCACAGTGGTGCAGGTGCGTCAACCCTGTCGTATGCACATCAAATGTACTGCCGTTGGTTTCAAGATCCTGGTTACAGCATCATCTCCTCCTGTAGGGTGGAGGGGCGGTCATGCAGCGGACTGGGAAAAACTCGCTCGCTTTGGACTACAGCTCACTGCTCAGTGTTGCTAAGCGTATATTTGCTGCACTTGCACGCAGTCCCCTAGGAAAAATGTGATTCATTTGATTGTACGAGCATTTACATGTACATTTAACCCGCGCCGTGCTGGGGGGGGGGGCGTTTTTACGCCCCCCCCTCAGGTTTTTCGCGAATATCTCAAAAACGGCGGCGCGCAGCGCCGCCGTTTTTGGTACACGTGTTCCTACATCATTTCCGCACATGTTGTGAAAATTTCAGACCTAGGCCGTTCAAGGTCAGGTCACCAGGTCACGTCAAGTGACCTTACCTCAGAAAAAGTTCAAAGGCTCGCTATAGCTACACCGACTGAACGATCACTTTGAAACTTTCAGCGATTGATATGAGTAACAGTATGTATAAAATGTATATCTCGGATTTTTGATATCTGTGACCTAAGGTCAGGTCAATTTTGCGACCTCTCCATTATAAGTCAATGGGAGAAAATTGAAATGCGCCTCTTTTGGACGAATATCGTTCAAAACGCTCTCAAACATCGGTTCATAGGTAAACATGACACACTGAATAGGAAAAATGCACCTGTGACCCCTCTGTGTGCCCCTGAGGTCATCTCAGGTCATGAACGGTCGCCAGCAGTTTTTTGGCTATAACTTTTGATAGAGACGTGCTAGAGCGGTGAAAACACGTCAGATGTGTTCAGCTCGACGATACGGATCGACTGATATGCAACATGACCCTTTTCGGTCAGGTCATGACCTTGACCTGAGGTCAAATTTTCAAAATGACCTTTCAAGGTCAACAAATAGTTCATTCGACGCGTCTCGACGAGAGGAACACGATGCTGGCAAAAGTAATGTCATGGCGCTTATGAGTCAAAAGTTATTGACGAAAAAACGTTTTTCGTAAAAACGGCTATTTTTGGAGTTTTTGCCCTCTGGAGGCTAAACCGTTGACCTGAGGTCAAATCTGAGAACATTACTCAGAAAGGTCTGTAAAAGGGCTATCGAATGCGCTTTTCCGCGGCGCTGTAGCTCTATCGGTTCCCGAGATAGCCGTTGGCAGTTTCCAAAATGTTGAAATAGTCAACATTTTACCTTTGGTGACCTCTGGTGACCTGACCTTTGACCTGACCCAAAAAATGACCGAAGTGTTTTCGTCCTTATTTTTGACGCTCTTTCGATTGCCGCTTACCGCGTGTCGCTACGTGGCCCAGGAGCCGAGTTAGACGGGGGGGCGTGAAAACGCCCCCCCCCCCCCCAGCACTCGGCGGAAAGTTCAGGCCACCAGCACGGCGCGGGTTAATATATTTTTTGAGGTAAGGTATCAGAGTTATGTGTCAAACTACGGACGAAAATGCACAGCGTTACAATCATATCTTCGTTTTGAAACGTTAAAGAATGGCAACACTTCTGATAAGGAAACTATGAGCTTTCTTATTTTTTTGTCACCCTGGCATTACTTTTTAAGTTTATTTTCCTTACTCATTTTGAACGAAAGTTACGTTTTGCAAAATAAATGTGTTCCTCGATTACACCTGATTCTACGCTAATTTTCCTACGCCATAATATCATAATCCATACCATACCATGCCACATGATCTACTCCCTGTTCGAAAGCGGGCAAGTCGCCGCCGAAGAGCGGCTTGATCGGGAGTTTTGCACTGGACGGTGCATCGCTGGCGGGCCGACGGGGTGCGGCAGTCACGCTCGGACACGGTCTTAGCCGAGGCGAATACGACGCTGCCAAGTCGTGCATCGAAACGGCCGGGTGTGCTTGTGTTGATAGGGTCGACTATTCTAATATATGGCGTGGTGTAAGAGCCTTTCGGACGTGGGCAGCAGAGGCGATGCTTGCAGAGATCACCAGTCACGGTGGCCGGCAGCATCACGGAGCGTGACGCTGCCGTAACGTGACGTCCTCTGGTGGGATCAGCGGCACCGCCCGGGGTCACTGACACCGCAGCACGGGTCACTTACCGCGCGCTGTGACACGGCAGCGGGGGTCACCTACCGGACACTGACATTGCCCCTGGGGTCATTAATGCAGCTTCAGCAGCTTCAGTTAATTCGGATCTGCTTACCGGGGTCACTGTCTCTTTATCCGGGGATATTCAACGGGGACTTAGTCCTGGGTCAGCTATTGAGGTCAATCGGGCACCAGCAGACCGATAATTCATTTTCAAGCCTGTTTGAGCCTTTCCGCCATAGTCTCCCCCACCGCCAGTTGCTGGTTAGAGCTAGCATCCTCCTGAATGATATTTGGTGAGCATCATGTCGACGGTCACATAATGCTTGAAGCTCCCATTCAAAATTGTAAAGGCTAGCAATGTTTTAACTTATTAAGGATATTGAGTCTAAGTTATGAAACAATAAGGTGTCTTGATGTAAAAATAAGGCTGTGAAAGCAATCGCTTTTCTTTGTGAGGAGTCGTACAAGCCAGCTGTCACTATAACTATCTTAACTCTTCAACATGTGTTAAATGAGTTTTATATATCAGCGGGAGCGCGCAACTGTTTATAAAGCAGGAAATTTATGTGCTCGAATATCACTTGTCAGTTGGTAAAAGCAAGCTTATCTCACTTCAAGACGGACGCAGTGAAAGGAATTTTAGAAGAAGGCTTGTCTAGGGAAATGTGCAACACATACATATAAAAATATACATCATGCATTTACAATTTAATGGCGCCCATCTTTTATCATATTCTCACCAACTTTTTTTTTTGAATCATTGCTCTGTTAATGGTCGCGTCTTCTGTCTGTTCGCTAAATGCCTACTGTTGGCAGTGTCTGCCGCTGGCTGAATACCCGTCACTTCCTGAATGTCTGCCGTGGACTGAAGGTCACTCTTCGTCACAGCCGGGTGGTTGTGTTTATCAAATCGACCGCTGCCTGGCCGCCAGTCTGCTCACCGACTGTAGCACTGTAGCAGCATGCCGACTGTCGACCGCCCGCTGGGGCCGGGGTGGGCACTCTTGTGGGTGTTGCAATGACAGTCATGTCGCTATGGGAAATTGGCCCGGGTGTGCGTTTGTGTGTGTGTGTGTGTGTGGGGGGTATTATTGGCAACAACCTTCAGTTTTTTTAAGCTTTTTTAGTTAGTATCAGCTTATGATATCGGTAAACAAGTCGTTTCAGTACCTACTATTCAATTCACTTTATATGTGGAGGTCGCAGAACCAGCCTGATTTCGGATGACGCTTATGAAAAATTTTAGCTAGCTATGTATGTAAGTAGTAAGGTTGCAAGGACCCGTAAGCCTTCTTCCGTTAAGTTTCATCTCAATGCGACTTTTATTTTCACGTGACGTCAATGGTCAGTTGCCTGACCTGACCTGACCTAGAATTGAGGTTAATGCCAAATGTTCGGCTGTAATCAAGGAACAATTGTATGAAACATCAGCTGTGTTCCGAGCAATCACGAAAAACACTAAGGGGTGACACGAATCACTCCCTCCGGCCGGCAGGGGTGTAATTTTCCTAAAATGATAGGGGGTGCCCAGCTGTATAGGGGCGCCAGGCCGCTGTGGGGAGCAATGCATCTTCTTTATGTCGGAGCCTAAATTTACACCGAAGTTGATAACTTTGCTGGCCGAAGGGCGCTTCAAGTGACATGTCTGACAAAGCAAATACGCGGTTAAAAGTGTAAAGTCACCGGAAGGGCGTAAAAAGGGGCGTCATCCAGTTAACACCGATTAGTCAGTTGTGCTGGGTTGTTGGGGACGTAAGGAAGGGACGCCAGAAGGTTACGAGGGCGCCGTGAGACCATGACGAGGGCGCCATTCTCCCAGAAGGGCGCCAGGTGATTAAAAATCTTGTGATTATGATCCAGGGGCGCAGAGAGTTCAGACTTCAGAGGGGCGCCGCACAGTCAGTATTGCTAAGTTGGTGGGGACGTAGGGGCGCCAGACGATTATGAAGGCGCCATAGGACCATGAAAAGGGCGCCATTCTCCTATAAGGGCGCCGTGTGATTGAAAACGTTATATGGTCCAGTGCCGCGGAGAGGCCAGAAGGGCGCCGAACAGTCAGAAGTGCTAAGTTGGTTGGGACATAAAGGCGCCAGACGGTTACGAGGGCGCCGTGAGACCATGAAAAGGGGCGCCATTCTCCCAGAAGGGCGCCGAGTGATTGAAAACGCTATGTGGTCCATTGGCGCTGAGAGGCCAGAAGGGCGCCGAACAGTCGAGGGATGCGCGCAGCGCGGTGGACAGAGACTGAATGCTCCTCTATACGCCAACGCGCCTTTGCTTACCAGTAGGTGGCTGCGCATGGGTGAAGTCGCTTGTTTTCAGATGGCAGCACTGTACCAGATGTGTTAGGTAAATTAGATTGAGCTGTGAAATTCATATGGAAGTGTTGCTAAACATCGGAAAGAGCAGTCAATAAAACATAAGTGGTGCCTAATCAGCAGGTGGTAACCGCCATGCCTGCGTAAATATGTCCAGTGTCCACATAGGCCTTTATTTGACATAGGCATGGGTACTTCAGTAGGTAGGTAGGTATATAAAGCAGCAAACAGCCGTCTTGGCATCGATTATTTACCTTACATAAACGCAAATGAAAGCACAACAGTCAATCAATTTACAAGGCACACTGTCACTCCTTTTCATCTCAAGCTGATCATCCTGAACAGCCGAGCACCGAATACTGACTTCCACCTTCCGAGTCTTTGATAAGCGCGTATGACGTTACCATGGCGACCAGCAGGAGTACGGCCACTGCGGCACTTGTGGCGCCCGTGACGGCACTGAACGCCGCGGCCGCTTCCGATACCTTCCGCTCACAGCCGGCGTTGTACGCGCCCTTCGTGGCCGTGCACTGACCCGTGCCCGGCAGGCTGAGACAGCACGAGCTGGGCACCTGGTTTATGCCCATCACGGGTGACCAGTCGAACCCGCTCTCGACGCCGCAGCACTGCGACTCTTTCTGTAGTTCGTCCCACAGACGGCGCGTCTCAAAGTCACTGTTGTACCTCTTGGTGGAGGCGAACAGCTGCCTTTGGACGTCCTGCAGGGCGGTCTGCGCGCCGACCCCGAAACCCACCACCAGTGCAATGCCGGAGACCACCAGAAGACTCAGCGTCACCCAGAAGAAGACGGTGAGCAGGCGACGGTCCTCGAACTTCACGGCGCAGGCAGCCAGGACCCCGAGGAGGGTCACCAGGCCTCCGACAGCGGTCAGCACGCCTCCTACGGCCGGGCAGAGTGCGGTGTCGAGCAGCTTTATCAGCTGCCAGTCGTCCTTGGCGAGGGCTGTGATCCCCACAGCCAGCAGCACAAGGCCGGAGGTCGTCGTCATCACGGTCAGAACCATAAACGCCAGCCTAACGCATTCACTGCACTGGAGCGCCATGATGAGGTGCGACGGAAGAAGCTTGTAGACTTGAAGTGGTGGAAGGCCTCGGCCACAGCCGCTATTAGATTCTTCTTAGCCGCTGAGGGTTCTCACAGTTGACCGTGCGCGTACAGATCCAGCAGCAGGATAGCCGCAGTTTGATTTCGGAGAATCCGTATCTCACTCAGCACACCGACACAGCATGTCTCCACAAGTTGATTCTCTCGTATACACGGCTCAATCACTTCGATCTTCGATCACCTGCTGTCAGTTATCTTCGTCTCTCAGGAAGCGGGCCAAGTTCACGAAATTGGTAGCCGACTGGGCCATCCCGTCACCAGAGATCCAGAAGCGTCCACATGTGTACAGCCAGCCAGTTTGTGGCCGCCAAACCCGGCATGGTGGGACCTCGGGCCGTTATCATGGACCTCGGGCCGTTATCATGCTATCAGTGCCTGCAGCTAACTCCGATAGTCCACCTATGTGGCCCGAGCTCCGGACTTGACCATGACTCCGTCACACTGCGGCAGATATCCGTAACCGCGAATGTGTTATCAACGTCAGCAAATATGTGCTGATGATTGCGTGATTCACGTGGGTTGGAGCACAGAACGGGACTTTTACATTATCTTTGACGTAAGCAAACCCTGATGCCGGGCCCATGGGACTGGGATACTTCCCAGATTCTCAACATTCATATAACATTGTGGCCTTACATGTACGGAATTGTGTTTGGCAAATGTCAAGCCTCTGGGACATGCAATATGCCGTTGATATCATGTGTGTCTGCATATGTAAGGCATAAAAATGAACGCCACTCAGCATTCTGAGTAGTCTTGCTCGTGTATAAATTTACGAGTAGTCATTGTATGTAGTGGTGTAAAACGGTTGATAAAAGACAAGACCTCGAAATGTATCAGCTCGTTTTTCTATCAGCGTCCTTTCAAATGTCAGCTCGGCTCATCCATGTGTTTCAGATTAAGTTCTCTCTTCGACTTCCTGAGACCCCAACAGAGAAAAGACCAACAGTTTCTTAAAATACCATTTATTCACAATGCAGCTGAGCGGCCGTTTGCAGCTGATCCTCTATCTTGTCGTCACCACACACACTTTGTTCGGGCGGCGGCGTCGGGCGGAGGGGGGGGGGGGGACTGGCAGTAGCGCCGAGTGCCGCTGCCGGCGCCGGTGCCACCCCGCCCACCTGACCCCTGCGGGGGCCGGGGGCGGCGCGGCGGCCTGCGCAGGCCCTGTTACGTAGCGTTAGTGTGAAGGGGCGCAATGTCTGAGATCACAGGCATTCGGATGGCCGCGGTTGGCACATGGGACACCGCCACTCAGCTGATCCCACCGGCACGTGGCGGCACGTGCGCCGAGCACGTGGCTCTATGTACAGAACGGGGGGCACCGCGCGACGATCAGAGGCACGAGATTCATGGATGGAACACAGGAGACAGGCCGCTCTCAGATACACCTCAGATGGGGGTGTACGAAACGCAAACACAGGTCAGGTCAGCAACATAACTAACAAACAATTTGTCTGTTGTTGTACAACACATTAGCCATAAGACAGTCGATGTTTAAACGCCCTCTTCCCACCGGGCCAATTTGGTACTATATGATACACTCCGCTAGAAACACGTCCATAAAACAATTTGTTATTCACACTCAGTCACTCTATCTAACTAACAATATTCAATCACACTAACAATCAAATCATTCATATGCCCGTACGGCGTACACTCACTGGTCATTTTTCTCACCCACGCTCAAATTTTCATTCAGTCGTCGCGATTCTCTCATCTCGCTCCATCCGGACGTACCATTCACACCACACAGACTCTATAAACGGCTCATACTTTGCCCGGGCGTCTCAACAATGTGCCACGGCTCCGGAACGGAGTCGGGCGCTAGCTTTGAGCAGTCAACTACTATCACAATGACTGGCCCACTGTGCGCTGGGCCGGGGGACGTTTTCATGGGGGACGGGGTATCACAGTGCGCTGGAGGACCGGGGCTGCAGCCCCGGCCCGACCTCACTGCGAATCGGAGCATCGGGCCGCTGATCAGGCTGGTGACGTCTCGCTCTGGGCTCAGACGTCACATGAGCGACAGCTGTGGGTACGCGCGCCCCTGCCCGCCAGCCCGGCGCTCCGCCCCGCGACGGCGGCGAGCTCTCTGGCGACACCTAGCGAGCGGCGCTCACACTATAATTTCCCGTATCACCCGCCGGTTGCGCGAGTTGGGTGTGGAGTAGCCGCTCTCGAGGGACTCGTCGAAGGAGATTTGCGGCTTGTTGTCTGGCTCCTGGTCGGCGTAGGGATCCGGCAGACCGGACACGTCCCTGTAGCCCCCGTCTGCGAACACGGAGAGACACGGCCAGGGTCAGGCACGGAGCTTCACACTCGGTGCAGAGGGAGCCACTATCGGGAACATATTTATTCAGGTGCAAAACAATAGCTAAATAGGTGGCTTTGAAAAAAGGCAATCAACCATCTATCGATATGAGCCGGTTATTTGATTGTGATTTTGTGGTGCATGTTGAATCTTAGATGCAGTCTAAAATGTTGTCAGAACCAAGATGTGATTGCGAGAGCTCGGCAAGCCAAAAAAGACAACAGAAGACGAGTGCTGCAAAGAAGTGAAACCACCGCAGCAACTCCCAATAATTCAGTCTAATGACAGCCACCACACCTCCCGTAAGCTCACCTGCGTGGTGGGGCCGGCCGCGGCCGCCGACGGCTCCGTACGGATCGGCCTCGTACGGGCGTCCGTACTCGTCCTGCGGCGGGTAGGTGGCGTCCGTCGGGTAGGCGCCCTGTGCCGGGTACTGGCTGTAGTCGCCGTACCCTCCCAGGGGCTGATCGGGGAGGTAGTTGGCCTGCGCCGGGTCGTACGTGTTCGGGTCGTACGTGTACGGCCGTCCGTCCGGCTGGCCGTATGACCTGTTGTCGGGGTTGCCGTACGAACGGTTGTCCGGGTTGCCGTATGACCTGTTGTCCGGGTTTCCATAAGAGCGGTTGTCTGGGTTGCCGTATGATCGGTTATCGGGGTTTCCATAGGACCGGTTGTCTCCGGCGCCGGCCTTGACCTGCCAGAGCGAGTCCTGCGAGTTGACTGATCCGCCGTTGTTGGAGTTGGAGTAGCTGTTCTCCATGTAGGCCATGTTGACGGCACCGCTGGCCGGGTGACCGGTCGCCGGCGGGCCGTGCTCTCCGCCAGCCGGGGCGCCGGGGTCGTAGCCGGGTCGTGCGCCATAGATGACCTTGGCTGGGTCCTGGCCAATGCGGCCCATGTCGGTGGTTTCCATGCCGGGCTTGTTGTCCGGGCCGCTACCCGGGGGGTAGTAGGCCGGCAGCTTCTGACGGTTGCTGGGGGAGAAAACGGGCATGTCAGTCTCATCGAACAGCAACATTGTGAAATACGAATAGTGTTCGCCTCCGGAGGCTATGGACGTGACCTTTACTGAGCTTTAAATAAATTGGTTTGATGGATCACCTCATGTGACGGGAAAGCCAAGGGCTCAGCAATACCGAACTAACCAGGCAATCGTGCTCGAAGAGCTCACAAAATGAATTTCATTCAAAGTACTTGCTGAGTACTGAGTAGCTCAAGATTTAACAGCTAGTCGCCACTAAGCAATCAGCCTTATATCATGCATCAATCTCCAGACACATCCACCTGGACCCTTAAACTCACTATGCGTCATCGTTGAAGGTCTTGGCGGTCTTCTTGGTCTTCTTGTCGCGGCGGCAGCAGCAGACGACGGCGAGTCCGAGGACGACCAGCAGCACGACCACCACCACCACGGCGATGATGATGCTGGTGATGCTGATGCCGGCAGAGGCCGAGGCGCTGATTGAGCCGGGAGACACTGCGGGCACAGCGACAGGGGATGACGCGTTAGAAGGCGGATTGGTGCTGACAGAAAATGATAGTACACATTGAGGGCATCAAGAAGGAAACAGCGTAGACCTTAAGGCTAACCGATACTGTTCGCTAACCTTCTATCGTAATAACAAAATGTTTCCTAGCTTCGTTATTCGTTAAGTCGCTTTCCTCTCTTTTCATATTTCCTCCTAGGTTTCACTTCCATATCTTGATCTTCCCCACTTCTTTTTTCCTGCCTCCTGCTCTCCTTTCCTTCCCTCCGCTCTCACCATGCTCGGCCTGGACGGGTGCTCCGCAGATGGTCGTGTTGCCCTTGGGACAGAGTCGCACACGGACGTCGGACACGTCGCCAAGTCGCTCATCGAGCTCGGCCAGGCCACGGTTGTTGTCGATCTCTACCACCTGATCGGCATCGCGCCAGTCGCCGTCCTCCGTCCTGTCGAGAACATGATTCACGTTAGGGGCGCGGAAAAAGGTATGTCATGGGTTTTCGGCGATGGTGTGTGCCGGATTGCTTGGGATGTTGTTGACCTGGTGTGAAGGAGTTAGACTTTCGGCACCGTATTTTATCGAGGAAAAGCTGCATAAACTGACGTGAATGTGTTGGGCCTGCATATGTGACTGTAATTATTCAGAACATTCAACGTCATTGAAGGCAATCGAAGAGCTCGAGATAACTATCATCGTGCCCTTTCTCAATCTGATAAATCATAATTCTGGATTCAACGCATGACCAGCCAAGCTCTCGCCGTCAAGAGTGTCCAACTGACCTGACTTCCAGAGCTCCGACCACCTCGATGTCGGAGGGAAGGACGTGGAAGTCGACCTGACGCGCCTCCTGTTCGAACTGGACGTGTTCCGGTGCCGGCAGCTGGCTGATGTCGAGCTGAGTGCTGAACTGCATCTGCTCGGAGTACTCAGAACTTCCAGCGTCGTTGTTGGCCATCACCTGCAAAGGGCGAGGGGTGTTTAGTGAAACGTGTTGATTTTACAGGCTCCTACGGTTGAGAAACCATCGATCAGAAGATACGCGAAAACGTGCCTGCCAAACCGGCAGGGCGAACCAATTGAATTCGATGACAAGTTAGCATGACGGTGTCACGGGCGACCGTTGGGGACCGGTCCGGTCGGCAGTCAGGCTCGGCTAACTGCGCTCTCCGCGCTTCGTCGGTTCGCCAGTCAGCGCTGGTCGTGCGTGACGGGTGTTTCATTCTGTGACGGGATCAGCGCGATGCTAGTCACCGCGCGATTGGCGATTCCCTACGCAGATGAGCGAGCTTAAGATGGATAATCTTAGTCGATTGAACAACGTTATAAAGGCTCGCTTTCAATCATGCGTTTTGTTTTGATAAGCTGTGCAATGTCCAAGTTAGTCCAAACACTCGAAATTTAATGCTAACAGAAAGTCTTACGTTAATCGCACCGCACTTTCTATATCCACGACTACCCTACCACCATGGACATCCTCCCATGTGCGTATTGACATCTCCCCAGGGCTTCTCTAGCACTCACTGTCCCCGCCACCCAGGATACTCACCCTCAGTCTGTATGTGGTACGGTGCTGCAGAGAAGTGACGTTGCACGGCCGCTCCTCCTGACAGTCAAAGTCCTTGTCGTTGTCGCGCTCGTCCACCAACGCAACATGGTGAATCGTCCGGCGGAAGCCGCCGTCAAAGCCGGGCGTCCAGTCGAGCAGCACCCACGAGGTGCCCAGCTCAGCCACGTGCACGTCAGTAGGCGGCTCTGGACGGCCCTTGGGCTGCAGGTGAAGCGCAGTGCTGTGCTCACCCTCCTCGTTGCGAGCTTGGCAGACGTATTCGCCGTAGTCGGAGGGTCGCACGGCAGACAGACGCAGAACCGACTGGTGGACGTCGTTACCCAGCTCGGTAGCGTTGGTCTCGTAGTCGCCGCTCGGACTGCCGTCCAAGGGTACGCCGGCGCGAGACCAGTGGAACACGGGAGCGGGGTACGCCTGCATCTGACAGGCGATTGAAGCCGACTCGCCCATGTCGAACGCCACCTTGTTGTACTGGTGGTACACGATCGGAGCGTCTGTGGACAAATGGTGAAGGTGTTAGAAGAGCAGCTGAGACTATGTTGATTCTGTTGTCTTGGTATGAACGAATGGTTGATTTTGCTAAGGACAGTGTTATGTTACGGGCTTTTATCAACAGTATAAGCTGGTTACAACATCGGTAAGCTCTTTTGCCATTAGCAACCCCAAAACGACATAGAAAGGGTAATAACTGAAGGAGATGTGGTCCGGACCAATCACTAAGAACTGAAGAGAATGTGGTCTGGACCAGCCACTTAGAGCATAAAGGGAAGGGAATCATTAGCGTTTATAGTGACTAACTATGGCCAACCATACAATCTACCAAACCCCGCTATGTGCACTCACGTCTGATCCTGAGCAGCATGGTGGTCTCGGCGGTGTCGGCCTCGTTCTCGAAGCGGCACGTGTAGTTGCCACGGTCGGCAGCCGTCAGACGATCGCCAAGACGAGCCCCGCCGCGGAAGTTGAGCGTGCTGGTGACCGTGAAGGCGCGGTCGTTCATCTCCGTCTCCTCAATGCCGACGTCGTACAGGCCGTTGGACGTGCTGATCTCCTCACCGTCCTTCAGCCAGGTGACGGTCGGCTTGGGCATGCCCTGCGCGCTGCATTCAGCAGAGAACTCAATCGTGTCCAGTTGCTGAGTGGCCTCCGCCTGCAGGCGCGTGTTGAACTCGGGCGCACGCAGCACGCGCACCTCGACCACGGCGTTCAGTCCGCGACCCAGCTCGTTCTCCGGCTGGCACACGTAGCGGCCCTGGTCGCGCATCTCCACGGTATCGATGATCAGCTCTGCGCCGCTGCTCAGGGGGATCTCGGGCTCGTCCTCGCGCCACCAGCGGTAGCGGGGCGTCGGGTGGCCAGGCGGATCTGCGTCGCACGTCAGCGTCAAACTGCGGCCCTCCACGCCGATCGGATCTTCAGGCTCGATGATCGCCTGGCCGGGCGCGTGCCGGATCAGGATGCTGGTGGTGGCGTTACCGACGCGTTCTTCGGGCTCGGGCATGTCAGCGCTCTGGATGCGGTTGATGGCGACGCACATATAGCGACCGTTGTCTTCGGCAGAGACGCGGCTGAGGCGCAGCGTGTAGCCGTCCTGGCGGAACGAAGGGTCGTCCTCTCGCAGCCAGAAGATGTCGTCGGCCGGCGGGTTGGCGTCGATCTCGCAGCCCACCTGCACGCTGCCGCCGTCGGGCACCTCACGCTCCTCCTCAACGGTCACCTGGTGGACACAATCTCAGTCAGCATGGCGAAGGTTGCAAGAGATGACTTATTCATTTCAGTTTAGGAGTCTTTACCGAAAGAGCTGAATGAACTTGAAAATGTGAAAGAAGTTTAACTGTTTCATGATTCTGTGATCTGTTGGCATGTTTTCAAGAAACAATGATGGTGTCACTATTTTATATGTCGACCGGCCTCAACTCCCCACATCTGACGCTTGGCCCGCACAAGCAAGGATGGCAGCGAACTCACATAGGGAGCATACAGGACGTCCAGCTGCAGCTCCTGCTTCTTCTCTCCGACGTCGTTCTCTGCGCTGCACGTGTAGGAGCCGGCGTCAGCCACGGTGACCTCGCTGATTGGCAGGACGTAGTCGTTGCCGACGACGGCGTTGTTGCGGATCCACCGGACGCTCCTGACCGCTGGTTTGGCGTCCACGGAGCACTGGAGGTCGATGGAGTGTCCGCTCTCCACTTGCAGGGGATTGTCGGAGCCGACGGAGATGCGCGGGAAGTCTGTCGAAAGGGATAGAAAGTTAGCAGGGATGTCTTTCAAAGGGGTCGGCCAGTTAGTTATCTGCTAGGGACGACAGAACTTTACCGGAAGACATATTCCGAAGGGTTCAACCCTTTGTAGCTTGACTGTGACGTCATCTGTGTAGTGGTGGAGGGTTCGTATGGTGCTGATTCATCTAGTTAATCACACATGAATGGTGTTCAAGTGTGCCTTTTTTGTATGTGTGAACTGAATCTGTGTTTCTTGGTGGAATGCTGGATGAATGCATGAAGTTAAGCTGTTTTTGTTCCGATTTTAACCTTGAAAGACCGATGCGAACGCGAGCGGTATACACGTTACCTGCTTTGACAAATGGTGCGTAACAATCGCCTCAGAACGGCGACGGGCATCTATTTCAGCGACGAAAGCCGCCTTTTGTGCAGCCGGTCGGGCAAAAACGCAAAGTGCCGGTCTCTTTCAGGACGTTGGCTTTGTGGCGGCTCGGCCGGTTCGACCGTGTCACGCTCATTAATTAACGGCTGACGGAGGAGGAGACCTGCGGGCTGCGCCGGGGGCTGACGAAGCTGACCCACAAACAGGTCCGCCGTGACGTCACCAGGGCAGTGTCGACGTCACAGGACGGGCAGCACTGCGTTCGCTGTCGTGCTAGCTTTGTGCGGTGTGCAAATGAGCCTTTCGTAGAACGGACTCGCAGTCAGCCATTCCTGGAGTGGATTGCCACTGACCGACGTTTAAATCGCGACATCTTGTGTTACAGGAAGGCACCGCCTGGTGCCACGTCACCCGGCGGGATTACCTGGGGCCCGCTGGTGGGTCGAGTGACGGCCACCTCCGCGAGGAGAGATGACCGTCGCCCGGTCGGTCGCCGCACTCGGTTATCTACGCGTGCAGCAGTGCCGTTACTGTGCACCGGTCAGTGCAAACTGCAGGGGGTAGGGTCGCTCGTGACGGTGTTCCGCGAGTGGACAGCGACAACGAATGTGTGCGTTCGGCGAGACAGGTGTCCACCACAGCAGTGTCTAGGGGCGTGACCTCTCAGCCGTCACTGTAAGCCGCCGCGATTCGGAACAGCAAAAACGTCATGGCGGTGGCACTGTTTGGCCAGATCATCCTTGGATTAGGTGACGCTGGGACGGGTGGGCCGACGGGTCTTTCCGGCCGGTAGGACGGGGCCCGCCGGCGCCCCCACGTCGCCTGATGGGAAGATAGGAACAGACCGGACCGCTGGCAGTCACGCGATCAGGCTGGTGTGCCGATGGGGCGGCGGCAGGTTTCGTGGCAGCGTGATAGTACGATTGGATGAGATTCGGCTTGGGAATGAACTCACGCAAATCGGTGGGGATGTAGCACAGTCTCACGCACTGTGTGGGCGTTTTGAAAGCCATCGGTTTGATTGAATATGTGATATGCTATGCGAGTGTGTTGAGGTAAGCCGTCCTTTTATGAAAGCATGCCCATTCTGGTAGGAATCCTTGAACACCTCCGCCCATAAACCTCCCATCCTAAACTATATCGTCAGTGAAAAGACGTAGCGCACACTTATGCCCAGATTGACGACTGCACAAATCCCACTACGTAGGTATACGTGCGGAGTTGCAGTCATGGTTTCTGCCACCTCCCCGTATACCTTTTCCCACATCTGCATCCAACCACGGCTTTCTATCAGCCTAACTCTCTGTCCACTCACAATTAACGTCGAGCTGGGTCTCGGTGGTGAGCCGCTCGCCCTCCGCCATGGCGCGGTTCCAGACGACACACTCGAGCCACTGCTGGTCATCCTTGCGGTGTGGCTGCAGGGTCAGACGAGACACGGTCGGCTGCGAGCGGTCCTCGGCGGGCTGCAGGTCGGCTGGCAGCGGGCTGCTGGAGCCGCGGCGGTACCAGCGGATCTCCGGGGACGGGCTGCCGCCCACCGAGCTGCACTCCAGCTCCGCCGGTGTGCCCTCCTCCAGAGGTTCGCCGGAGGTGGCGATGGTGGGCGGCTCGGGCGGCAGCAGCACCGTCAGAGACACGTGCTCCGTGTGCAGGTCGTTACCGGAGCCGGCGCGGCGCACCTTGCAGTCAAACTGACCGTTATCGGTGGCGTAGGTGGCTCCGCGGATGCGCAGGTCGTAGGTGCCCTCGTTGGGTAGGTAGTCGACACTGAAAAGGGAAACGAAACGCAGTCAGGGCAAGCAACATAAGACGAAATCAAGGAGTACACAGACGCTTGTATAGCTGTCTAGTGAAGGCGTGGCGTGTGTGCTGATTAAATCTCGTTTGATATATGTTTTAGCTTATTTTTTAAATTATAGTTGTTTCTAACGGTCACTGTGCCTTTATAACACCGAGCTGATTATCATCGCTATTCCTAAGCGTTTCTACAAATTGCGTGTCATCCACCAATCCGAGTGACACGTAACGGAAGTGTCCCCATGTATATACCCGCATACTAAACCTCGCAGGTGACTACCAGGTGACTAATACCCGCATTTGGGAAACAGACGTGATTCCACCAACACGGTCGATATATCGAATTCAGACAATGCGCTGACGAAAGCACTTTTACATCACTCTCATTTTTTTAGGATGTGCGTTGGTTTGTGGCGCTTACATAATTTTACAAACTACGTCTGTCAATGTCGCCAACTAAAATCAGTTTTAATCGGCGTCAGTTAATCCTCGTATCCGACTCTCCGCTGACATAAACAACTCTCCGCCGGTGAGACGCCATCTCCATGGGACAGAAGACGAAGCGGTTCACCGGGGACTGGCGCCGGACTAATGCGAATCCCGTGTCCTGGTGACTACGAGATCCCATCTGATAGGACCGTCTACCTATCGAACCATCGACTTGGAACGGACCAGAGAGGATGGAGCAGATAGATCGCGAGGGCATCGGGTACGCCGGGAGGCAGCCGAGCTCAATGGCCAAGGCAACGAAAAGTCGTCCCGTTGTCGGGCATCTGGGAGATGGTCGTGGTTAACGATTCGTTCTTGGTGACCACGAACTATGCAAGCCACCATGATATATTTATTTCCTTGAAAAGAATGACGTTCCTGGTTCTTCGAATGACGTCATGGTATTTACTGACTGACTTGAAGCTTTTTTCGTCACCCAGAATCCGCTGGGTTTCGGAAGACAATACAGGTCCGCAGGCTCATTTACTGGTATATGTAGGTCCGTGTAGTGTCCAGAGCAAGCACCCGGGCCTAGCACTGTAAATCGATACCAGTTTTCTCTGTTCACCTGGTTCCGTGGCCTTCCTGGAGACCATTCTCCCAACGGCGTTTCACGGTACTCGTCACTGGCAGCGCGGAGATGGCATCAGGCTCCGGCGAACTGCATAATTTCCCCGACCATCGGGCACAGGAATGCAGTTCTGCGCAGCGCGCCGACCCAGCGGCCTTCATTACGCCGTCTGTCAGTCCGCGAAATAGCCCACTACGCCACAGTGACAGCTGTGAGGTATTCAAATTCCGTTTGCTCATTACGAGAGAAAATGACATCGGGCGTTGTCTCGCCGAATGCGCGGAACCACTGGCGTGTGCGGCCTTGTCGCGGAATACGATGGACGTGTACCGAGGTCGCCACGCTTCCCTGCATGTGTCTGCCGTCGTCGAAGGCCTATAGCACGGGCTGTCGGATCGCTGACGCCAACGCGTGGCGACTGCTCAAGGTGGTTTTATAGCAGGCGGAATTACTGGACTCGACAGATGCCTTCTGTTCTCGTAGGCCTTGGAGGGTTTAATTGGTAGTATCCAAGGGCCTACATTGGCTCCTTTTACAATGAAAATCCCAGTGTGTGGAATAAATCCTACTAGCATACAAAGAACAGACCCGACGGACCAGGCTCGTCCTGTCCCGGAAACCAGACGAGACCGGCGGACCAGACGATCCCGGCTGCCTGGACCGGCGGTCGCGCGAGCGCTGCGAGGTCAGCTCGCCGGCACCGGTCCTGGCTAGCCACGTCTCTGAGGTGTGTGTGAGATGCTATCGAGGCGAGCCACCAGGCCAACTAACTGTTCTTTGACTCCAGACGCCGCCACCAGTCGGCACCACCTGCGCGCAGCACGCCGGCTTTCTTCAGTCAGCGTGGTACTGGCACAGGTGGAGATTAAGTTTGAATAATGGATCCGACACGAAGAAAACTGCACGCCAGTGTTGTGGCGCTTTCAGCCCGCATGCGTATTTTAAACACGTATGGCAGTAAATCTCCTCCTTACTACTTGTAGAAAAAGCAGCATATACTTCCCCTGAGCCCCCACAAAGCACGCCTGAGTATCGGAATCGAATCCGTCCCATTAAATTTCGGCCGGTCAGTTTACATGGGGCGCACCTTTTTGCCGCAGGTCGGCGGACCGGTGGTTGCTAATCAGATACGGGTCCGGCGGCCGGCGGCCGTAATTTGGCCCGCTCAGGAGGGGTGCCTGGCCGGCCGGGGGCCAGGTAAGACTGCCCTCCGTCCTCCCCTGGCCCGTCCTCCCCTCCGTCCCCCACTGGGATAAGGAGCCGGCACCGTCCCCTCCCGCGCCGCCGAGACAAAGAGCGGTGGCGGTCCCGGCGCAAACAGAGGCGCTGCGGGCCCGACTGCGCTGGACGGGGACGTCGGGGGCCCACTCGGACGAAGTGAGCGATGGGAATGTGTGTGTGAGGTGCGTCAGCCCCCGATCACGCACGCCCGCCTGTTCCTCCGCCGAGCGACGCGGTCGGCCGCCCCGCCGTGCGCCGGAATAATATTAGCGACGTGTTTTGTAGGAGCTGCAGAGTCGGAGAACAACAGATGGGGCTTTGCTGCGGAGCTCGTTGGAACCGAAGCGGTATCGGGAGGGAATTTCAATCGTATTGTTGTTTGTTCTCCCGCTCGCGCACGGAAAGTGATGGAGTAGCTCTGGCCCTCGAGGATCCGCATTCGTCCATCCTGAGCCGTTCTGAGCTGTCCAAACATCCCTGGAATGGAATGCGGAGCGACTCTTCTCTGCGCCTCCGACCCTGACGCCGCCACTCCCGTCCCTTCCTCCAAAAATGTGGACTCAACGGTGGGCGGCTCGGTTTTGTGGAACATGACTAGCATCCACAAACAACAGTCCACACTCCACGTTGCTGCGCTGCTAAAATTTATGCGGTGCTGAGTAACTGGAGAGCGCGGCTGAGGTGGTTTGGTTACCTCAGTCATCTTACGAGATAGTTTGGCGGTCATTTAGATCCAGTCTCCCGCTGGTCGCAGGCAGGGGTCTAATATCCTACGCGAGTGTGAAGAGTTTACTATCCGATCGCCGCGGCCTTCATAGCCGCACCATGGGTTCCGCGACCCAGATCTATCGCAGATATCCGCACTATGAGGTTCATTAACACCGGCAAATTTGTTTACGAATCATTACAGCTCGATTAAAAAGCTGTTGATGGAGGAAACAACAGAAAAATAACCTCATCAATCCACATAAATCGAAGTAACCGGCAGCCGGGTAAATTGTTTTGGTTAATTCGTTATGCGTAACAGAGTGCATTACAATTCGTACAAACAAAAAACAAAGCTGCAGCTAAACGTTATAACTGTCGTGTCTATCTCAACTGTTGAACTTTCGACCCTTTCATTATCTCAGTGAATCTAGTGACTTCAGCAGTCAGCACTCTGCTGTGGTTTTGGGCTAATGGTGACTTCGGCGCCGCACACCAAGGTATCTCTGGACCGCCGGCCGCGCCGTGTGCTCGGCGATCAAAGGGACCGCCGAGGACCGAAACTCGTGGGCACGTGCCCACACGTGCGTACCACGCGGCACGTGCACGGCAGAGCGGCTCTCTACTGATCCACCTCACGTCACCAATGCACCGCTTTTTTAGCGCGGTGTGGCGCCAGGGTGTCGTTAACCGAGGCATGAAGTTATGAAATATGATACATGAAATCAAAGACATCAGCAGACTAGTGTTATTATCTATTCCAATAAACTTTTGTAATCGGGAGAAGGGTTAATCAGTGCTGATGGGCGAGTTGTGTGTCTGCAACCATAAGGCCTGACGAAAGTTAACTCCTCATCGAACTACTCCGACCATAGAACTAATAATCAACTCTCCAGCTGCCTATACCTGGCGCCATCACGGCGCCACAGATCCGACCCAGCCAGGGATTACATGGCGAATCGGAGGGCGGACGTGGCTGGCCATCCGTACCAGGGACGGTACCAGGCAGCGCCACGCGCTGTCCGGCCGTCTCGTTCAAACCGGTCTCAGTGTGAGTCTGACCGCCATGCACGGCGATAGCAGACGCCACGCTCATCACTACGGACCTCGCGCCCAACACCACCGAGAGACGGCCTCGAGGACGCGACAGGTGATAAATAGAAATGTAATGCGAGTCGCGTCGACCCCTGCGGACAGACCACCGTCTCTGACAGCGGGCACGGCCATCGACTCGACCTCGCCTGCATTCGGAGTGCTGTTCGGCGTATATATTTGGCGATGTTTGTGCGACACAGGCAATCAAGACGCGGCCGCCACAACAGAAAGATGGACGGACGCTGGGAGCTAATCGAGCCGGAGGCGACCGAACAGAGTTCGTTGTACAGACCGAATCGGGGCCGAATCGACAATAACGCATACTTTATCGCGCGCATTATCATTCAGGCCGATCGATCACGTACTCTTGTCGGCCTACCAGTGTCGGGTGCCGTTATGAGGATCTTCATCGGGTCGCTGACGTAGCGACGCAGCTGTCCAAAAGGTCAGAATGAACGACTTCATCGCAGCAGGTAAAACATCGGAAATAATCGTTTCTCGTATGACATTACTTGTTGAAACTATCGCAGTTTCCACGCATTCCACACGCATGTGATTCCTATGTAACTGTCGCGTGTGTGCCTCAGTCCTCTGTGGCTATTTATTTTTTAAATATTGCGTTGATGAGTTGTCACGTAATCTCTTTCCTGTCGTCCCCGTGCTGACCCCCACCCTCTCTCTCTCTCCCCCCCCCCTCTCTCTCTCTCTCTCTCTCTCTCTCTCTCTCTCTCTCTCTCTCTCTCTCTCTCTCTCTCTCTCTCTCTCTCTCAACTGACCTGTATCTCTCGCGGAAGATGGATCCCTGGATGGCGACCGTGTCCCACTCCTGGATGTTCTTGTGGCTCCAGACGAAGGAGACGTTCTCTCTGCGGGCCAGCGTCGGGTCGAAGCGGCACTGCAGCACCGCGTCCTGACCAATCATCACGTCCACGTTCCGGTCATCGCCCGGCTGACCCAGCGCCAGAGCTGCCCCTGCCGAACACACACAGGTCACGTCAGGTCAACTGGGAGTGGCTGAGTCAAACTGGTCGTGTTTATTACAGCTTTTTCATATTCATGTGGTAACATGGCTCCAATTTCACAGCTCTAAAACGCTGGTGAGACTCCTACAATCCAGCGACCACAAAAATGCTAACGGAACGAGCGTCGGCCTGTCTCTAAGTGAGCGCATCGGAAGCCTTCGCCATTCTTATCGACCCTAATCACTCACAAGCCCAAACACAGACCATAGCCAAACTCCTGGTTCCAGCTCGAAGGCCGCCGTGACGGCTTTGTGACGAATGTGGCGCAGACGGAGCGTCACTTGGCTGCCACCGTGACACGTGGAAAGGTGATTGGGACGGCCCCTTTCCGGCCGGCATCCTCCTGCGCGCCGAACTCGGTCACACAACAGCGCCGCCGAGATGCGGAGAAAGTTCAGGTGCCGGCATTGTATCCGCGCGGGCAGCGCTGGCCGCGTTGGCCGACACCGGCTTACAGAATGACTCACAAATCGCAGCCGTGCGGCCGGCTTATTCACGGCTCATTCAGCTAATTCGCCGCGAATCTAAGTGAGCCCGTGACTGGACCGGGTTCGCCGATAGCCCGACCGGTCGGTTCCACCGGATCAGAACGAGACGCGTGGCGGACAGAAGGAATCATACGGCCCCGCTACGTCAGCCGAGTGTGACGCCATAACCGGCCGTGACGTCATCACGGCTCAGCGACGTGACGTGGCGCATTAGGTATGCGGCCGCCCGTGCTAATCCCAGAAACGCCACTCGCCTGGCCGTAATCTGGCATTAGGCAGATGGCTGCAGATATGCTTTCTCTCCACTTTTTGCCGTCAAGTCGCCGCTAAAACCCGATATGCCGTAATGGTTGAGCCTGGTAGCGGGGCTTTGATGACGTAGTCGTTGGAGACTCAGCCGAGGCGTGCCATTTGCGGCCGGCCGGGTCATTTGTGACCCTTGTCTGACCCCTGCCTTGTTTTCCGCCCACAGGTGTGACCGGCAGAACGGCCCAAACCAATCAAATGTTAATTATGACATAATGACGAATGCCGCTTCTGCCGCCTCGTTCGTCACCTGACCCCGACGGGTCGAGTAGCGTTTCTCAGGACCTCAGGTGACACCGGTGCCGGCCCCGGCGGCGGCGGCGGTGTCCGTGCGGTCACAGAGGTGTCCTGATTGCCGCGGACACGCCGCGGTATGTCCGAGGAGTTTGTCCGCCGGGCCGGTCCGTCTGTCTGTGGCCGCTGGCGGCGCTGTGGGCCGCTGTCCACCATCACTGATTGGAGATTGGTGGGGCCGGGGGCGCCCCGATCGGCCGGACAGAATGGCCCGATCGCGTGACCGCCGCGCTGCGGTCACGTGACAGGTCGACGGCGGCCGGAGCGTTTCGCCGCGCTCGTGAGAGCCGGAGCGGGCGTGCCATTCACGGCAACTTTCGACTGAGGTTTGATTACCGTCCCGAACGAATTTCTCCGACGAACAATGCAGGGATTACCAGTATCGTCTGTTGGCGAGCGGATGTATTTTTGTCTCGGGGGCTCCGTCCCGTCACTTTAAGCTTTGTCTTTTACCTTACCGGTAGTCCTATTCAGCAAATCATATGCCTCATCCAAGCGTAACCGACACAAATGACAGCTTAATGTCCTGGCGGAACAATTAAATTTGTTCTATGTTCAGCAGAGAAGACCCAAGAGCGTTGGTTTGTGACGTTGATAGCGCGTCTGGCGTTACAAAACCGCCGGTAGATAGTGCCAACCAAGTGCTTCCACCCTGGGTGACAAAGGCAGGAAGTCGGTGGATGAGACGAAAATGGCGGCGCCGCTGTCTCACGTCCTTGCCACCGTCGCGGGACAGTGCGTCTTGGCGTCAGAGAAGGATGGTGACTCACGACAGACGCCAACGGCCGGTGGACGCCGCGGGGTCACGCCTGGGGTCTGAAAAACCCGTGTTCAGCATAGCACAGGCAACTCGCACACATACATCATCCGTAATTACGGTAACGGTCGCTGAGGCCGGCTGGTCTGTCGGGTCGAACCGTGCTGACCGGGCGCTCATCTAAACACAGTCCCTCATGGAGTGCTCGTCTAACCACAGTCCCTCACCTCACGGCGAGCATTGGTCGCGGGCGGCGCCTGTCACTGGCTTCGTCACTCATCCACCCACGAGAACCGTCAGGGTCATATGACGTCACAAGACCACTCACGATCTGTGCGTGACGTCATCGGTCCGCTCACGACCGGCGCGGCGTGACTAAGCGGTCGTGACGTCACACAGTACCCCTGTGAGATACTGGAAGTGCCCGCCGGACCCGGTGGTCGGGCTTCGGGGAATCGCTGACGGGGAGGAGAAACTCGCCAGGTGAGCGATTCGCGCAAGAGCGGTGCAAGGGCGGCTCGACCTGTGCCGAGGCGGATACCGCTAGGCGTTCTGCAACTGGGGCGGAGATTCCGACGTCCGGTGCTCGTCTGTGCAGGAGAAAGAGAGAGGGGAGATGGGGGACCCGCCCAGAGAGAGGATAACGGGAAATGAATCAGCGAGACTCGTGCGGGTCGGTAGGTAAAGCTGTGCAGTATGTGCGGACGCCGAGCGGTGGTTTTTCTCTCGGCAGGGTTCCACTTTCCTCGGTACAAGCAGGAGCTGCAGCACGTGTGATAGTGAGATAAACTACAGGAATGTGTGAATTGAATAATTGGACGACCTCAAGTGTCACGCCTTTTTGTGTTCTAATGAATCACGTTGCAATCATGTGTTTGCGGTTACTGCCTTGCAAGCATGTTATTCAGCAGCTGCAATTTGACGTGTGTCTGGTTAGCTGGAAACGAAAAGTGTCATTTTGGGTAGTTCCATAGGGCGCAGATAGCCGCAAGAGCCTCACCACCTGGCTGTTCCACCTCATCTGGTTGTAGCTAACGAAACGAAAACCACACAAAAACTGCCTACCACGGCCATCAACCCCTTGTCTTCCAAGTTCAGCGTCTCCATAATCTCCCGTATTGGTCTCAGTCTCCTCCATATAGCCCGCGTGAGTCGTGTCCTCTCTCCTTTACCGGTCTCAGTCTTCCCCATATAGCTCGAGTTTGCCGCCCGCCGCCAGGGACGGTCGTCTGGCGCTGCGTCACAGCTCATCGCGACACTCCCCTTGTGGTGACCGGGCTGACCTTTAAACCGGTCCCGGTCGGCGCCCGCGGTGCCGGCCGCCGCGCGGCTCGCTCCAGCCAGGCCCGGCCCGTATATGTGGCGGCCGGCGAGTGGGCAGGCCTTGGAAAACCTGTTGTTCTAATCGGCGCCGGCTGCAGCGGCGAGCTGAGCCCGCCTGGCGGGCCCTGGTGGCGGTGGACGGCCGCCGCGCGACTGTGGTCTGTCGAGCGGGTGGTAACCGCGGCTCGGCCAAAACTGCAATGCAGCATCTGAAGTCACGAGGATTAAAGAAAAGGTTGGAAGACTAATAGAGAGGTATCCAAGACTGGGATGACTGTCGATTTTTCGAGGTGAGAAACAACATCTCGATAGGTAAAACAAACGCCAATTTGGCGTCGAGTTGGTATTCTTTGGCTGAAGATCAAACTAAGGCACGGTCATTGCCCGGTGTCGGTTATTGTGTGTCCAACGACCGACGCTCCCGCTCTCCGCGGGAACCGTCAGCGTCCCTGATTGGTGGAAAGCTGGCGACGTCATCCGTCAGTCCGGCGACTCCGGTTGGCCTTGAAGCGGAGTCGCCCGGCGGAGCGGACCGGCGACCCCCTGCTGGCGCTCGTAAACCAGCGTCGTCCGACGCCGTCCGCCGGCGCGACAGACGACGCGGCCCGACAGACGGGGAGTAGCCGGGAAACATTCATAAGATACCGGCCGGCGACGCCCCGAAACATGGCAGACCGACGCGACCCGGTCGACAGACGTGACAAAAAGTCGGAATGTGTAATGTAGCCGGATGTTCGGCTCCGCTCCTCGCGCACACAGGGCATTCCTGGACGGACGGGACTGAGATCCTGTGTACCAAGTCGCTGCGCTGCGCCGCTGAAAGCCTCTTTTCCCGGGATCCACGCCCGCAAAACCCACAGTTCGCTCGGCGAGTCCCTGCTGGCCGAGATGAGAGAGCGGACCGCAGTGCCGGAGCCTCCCCGCCAAATTGGCCTCCATTGGCGCCCGCTGGAGGGTGAGCATCCCGTGCCGCCTCCTGCAGGGCACGTCACAAAGACTCGCGTCCAGAGGTGCGCGGGTGCGCGGAGACGGCGAGAAAGCGCGCGAGATGGGTCCGATTACGAGTGCGCGCGCTCTCTCGCGCCAGAAGCGCGCGCACTGTTTGCCGCATCTCGTAGTGAATCGGCGCGCGAGATAAGATGCGCTCCGGTCTCCGGTATCAAAGGCCGTCGTTTGTCGGCGGCTTATCGTCCTGCCGTTTGGCGCGCGAGGTGCGGCTCCCCTTTCACGGAGTGCGCTCGCCACCCGCAGGCGTCGTGCCGGTATTTAGCCGCTCGGCGGGGGGCGTCCCCGACATTCTTCAGGGTTGTCAGCCGACTCGGCCCCCATACATTATTGTTTGCCGGGTATTTTTCATGAATATATCATGGGACCAGCACGACGCCGAGAAACGGTCACCCGCTGACCGACGAAGGACAGAGCTCGGTCTGTGGTCGGAGGCGACTCCTACATCGATGTATGTTTCATCGATATGTACGATCGATATCCAGGGTATGTTAGCGACGCCGTTAGCAGTGTATAAAAATGGCTGAGGGACCTGATGTTACGATTTAGTAGTTGGCATGGTGGACTAGGGCTACTTTTTGAACGTAGAAATAGATGGCTCGGCAACGTCATCGGATTGAGTACCATTCGCCGGACGGACGAAAACAGGCGATGATAAAAAGTAGCCGATCATAGCCGGCCCGAAAAAGCCGCCTTAGCTCCCTCTGTCACGTATCACGTTGTTTTTCGCTCCGCAGCTTGACTCCGAACAAACGCTCACCGCCAGACAAACAATCA